CACATGTCATTTATTTGTAATCTTGAACATTCAGTGTACGTTTTGTTTGATTCTGTGAGAATTAATTTTCTTTTTTTTACCAGAACTGGAATTTATCCCTTAATGGATACAGGTTTACCTTTTTTTCTGTCCAATGAAGTGGACCACTTGGTAAATTAGGCTCTTCATCAGACTCATCCAGATCCATGCTAGAATCCTCCTCTTGTCTGTCTCCAGTCCTCTCCCCCCATTCTATTTGCGATCCACCCCCTTGTTTCTTACTTGACCCCTCACCACATTCTACTTCTACATGTGATCCTTCTCTTTGCTCCTTACTATGTCCTTCCCCTTGCTTATTAGTAGGCCCCTCCCCTTGCTTATTATTAGGCCCCTCCCCTTGCTTCTTACTATGCCCTTCCCCTTGCTTATTACTATGCCCTTCCCCTTGCTTATTAGTAGGCCCCTCCCCTTGCTTATTATTAGGCCCCTCCCCTTGCTTCTTACTATGCCCTTCCCCTTGCTTATTACTATGCCCTTCCCCTTGCTTATTATTAGGTCCCTCCCCTTGCTTCTTACTATACCCTTCCCCTTGCTTATTATTAGGTCCCTCCCCTTGCTTCTTACTATGCCCTTCCCCTTGCTTATTATTAGGCCCCTCCCCTTGCTTCTTACTATGCCCTTCCCCTTGCTTATTATTAGGTCCCTCCCCTTGCTTCTTACTATGCCCTTCCCCTTGCTTATTATTAGGCCCCTCCCCTTGCTTCTTACTATGCCCTTCCCCTTGCTTATTATTAGGTCCCTCCCCTTGCTTCTTACTATGCCCTTCCCCTTGCTTATTATTAGACCCCTCCCCTTGCTTCTTACTATGCCCTTCCCCTTGCTTATTATTAGACCCCTCCCCTTGCTTCTTACTATGCCCTTCCCCTTGCTTATTATTAGGCCCCTCCCCTTGCTTCTTACTTGGTCCCTCACTTTGTCGTGTATGTGATGCATCCCCTTCCACCTGATATCCTACCCCCTCTTCTACTTGAGACCTCTTTCCGTGTTCAGGTGAGTCTTTGTGTCCCTTGTCTGGCAATTGTCCCTTGCATTTCTGTCAATAAAACAAAAATTATATTAATGAAGCATTTAAAGTGTGCCTTGCTACCTATTTTAAAAGGGCACCCATTAGGTTGGTTGGACGAGCAAGTGTGCCCTTGTAAAAAAGCGACTGGCTGGAATGCTCCCCAGGGAGTGGAAAATGTGCATACATTGTGTGCGGGTAAGCCTGAATCCGATGACCAGGGTAATAATATATCTGTAAAGCGCTTAGGCACATCGTTGGATCGATGTATTGAGCGCTATATAAAAACACGGATTATTATTATTATTATTATTATGAAAATAACACTCATTAATTTGTTTTGCATTGAACTCTATGCAAATTTTGGGGGCTCTTTTATGACTTTCGGGGGCTCTTTTGGGCATTTCGGGGGCTAATTTGCCCCGAGCCCCCGTGCATTTTTTTTCACTGAAGATGATATAACGTACAGTTGTTGGAATGGAATATTCCCTCTGGATTTGAAATGCTATTTCGTGAAGAAAATAAGTTCCTTGACTACGCATCACTTGTAGATAAAATATCCTGAACTGGCAAGATGATAAGATGCCCTCTCTTTATTCTCCGTACAGTGTATTCTCCTCCTGTGCTCCTTACAAACCACCATTCACATTCCTCACCAGCCATGATGATAAGTCTAGAAATGAGATTAATTATAAACAATAAATCACTTTCCCTCAGAGCAACCCTCTGTTTTTAACCCCAATTCAAGAAAACATAATTCTGGAAAATCTGAAGCTGCATGCTCACAGCTCAATCTGTAACAAGAGGTGCTCACTCTACCAATAACACAATGACCAATGCCTCAATATATATATATCTGACATTTCTACATGTGGAACTGAAAACCGTTTTGAAATGTCTTTTACGGCTATTCTAAAAAAAAAATTGAAGTTGGGGCTAAGTTGGGGGGCCCATAACATGATCATGGTTCAATTTCTTAAAATTTAGTGGAGCAAATAATTTAAAACTTATTCCTCTATATTTATTTTTAATTGAACAACATCACTTTAGGAATCAAGATTTGCAAATCATTTTCAACAGATGAAAAAGGTTTTTCTGAGAGATTTTTCAATGTTACCCTTAAAATGGCGTACTTGGTAATTCTGTTACCAAAATCTGAAGGAGGTTTTACTTACAAAGTTATTTCTTACTTATTTTTGTTGTAGTTGCAAATTCTCTTCCTTTATCTACCTACTAAAAGCCCTCAATATCAATTTCAGAGGTATCTAATGTTTTCCTTTTACAACAATCAGCTATAGGTCTAACCAGCTGTCTACAGTATATACAAATAGAGCCAAAATTTCTCTGAAATGTTATTCTCTTACCATGGAATTGCCCATATATAACATGTAATAATATAACTCAAATGAACTTAATCTATAAACTTAAGCTACACTTAAACCGGTTTTAACTTTAATCTTGATCAAACTACACTAAACTATAGTGTGAACATGCCTCTATTCTAAGAAGTTTTTTCTTTCTTTCTGATGCAAGCAGGATTGGTGCTGGGCGCATCATCCTACTTTTTGTGGAACTGATTCATGAATAATTCCTATTTGGCCTGATAGTCTTCAACTTCAAACTTTTTGTACCTTTTTGGTTTCATGCCGTTACACTACATACAAGGTCATTTGCAAAATTACAATCATAACAATGGAGCACATACATCTTTAAATCATTTATAACACTTATGACACACATATACTAGGCTATTGTGCATTATATAGATGTTAAACACAAATATTCATGCTGAAATATGTCATGCATTAATAATAATCAATATACTTTAATTGCATTGAGTGAGCAAATATCAATACCTTAGAAGAAATATTCTCACCTTATCTATGCAGTTATCAAGGCCCAGGAAAGAAATGATGAATAAATGGTGATTATCCAGAATGATGTATCCTTCTTAAATTGTAGTCCAAGTTTAGGTGCACACCAATTCCTTTACATAGTGTGTAATGGTAGTACAAGTCTACACCCCTCGGTAATAATATGTATTATCACTCAGTATATGCCCCAATTCGACCCACCCTGCGAAATACCAGACCTCCTTCCAAGACATTTGTTTAGTAACTTATTCTAGCCAAATAAACCCCAAATTGTATACACTGATAAGAGCCCCCAAACCTCCAAAACAAAAGACTTCCTGTCTTTCTCCCAATAACCAAAGCCCCCTTTGTTTCATAAGACCCTTTCCCAGAACAGATTACATGTGTTAGCTAAATGACTGTGAGAGGGAACTTGTCTTTGTCCCTTTGACACGATGTAACCTACATGTACCCTCATATCCATTTTGTATCCTTCTGTATAAATTATGACATGTTCTGGCTTTGTAAAGAGGAGTTTAGTTTTGATCACCATTTGATCAAGACCCTCTTTCTAGCTGGCTCTCTCTTCATCTTGTATTTTACAATCTGGAAGTTCATAATGATGCATGTGACCGATTTGAGTCTCCAAAGTTTGGAGATAATAAATACTCTTAATATAGTCTATCCTTGCTTCTTCATATTTATTGATGTACCTCTCCTACCGCCAATAACATAACACACCGATCCCAACACGACAATAGGCCTACATACTGCCATGAAGATATTGGGATGTATTTCATAGTAAAGAGACCATTTCTTTTAGGCCAAAGCTTAATTTTTGATGGACCATGCAGAGAGTGTGTTTGTTTGGTGATAACACAACTTGACAAAAAGGCATCTTAATTATTATCGCGCATGTTTTTTTGCTATAGCAGGCTGCATGCATGTATCAGTCATAAATTTTGAATCAGTGCATGGCTGCTGCTACAGAGTTTCAGCCATACTTTCAACCATGTAAAAAACCTACAAGCATGTATCCAACCTCGATCTTCATCGCTTCTGAGCATATTTTCCGCTTCATGTGAACTTTGGGGTAATGCATGGGTTTTGAGGCCTTGAGCTCAAATTTTAATTAGGATTTCATGACTATACTTTCTGACTTGCTTGCTTCTGCTTAAATCATGTATTTTATTTATAAAAAAAGTCTCAATTAATGTAAATGGACGTTCACAGTCTGCAGGTTTTTATTTCAAATTGATACATAACAATTTTGTTTTATTTAGATTTAGAAAAGCTGTAATTCTATTCTTTGGAAGAGCATATAATTTCATTCATGAAGTGATTTCAAAATGGTAGGTGGAAATAAGAGTGTGCTCAAAACTAACATTTTCTAAATTCCTTGACCTCTATTTATCAACCCATAGACTTACAACATATGTTTTAAGTCTATAAACCAACAAACCTACAGAAGCAAAAGTTCCCTCCTCAAAACATGGACTTATTATTGTATAACTCCAAACCCTTGACAATTAACATAACAAAGTTTACCTGTCATAATGTCCCTGCCAAAAGTTTTACATACATCCACTCACTCGCACGCGCTCCCACACACTTACACACACTTACACACACACACACACACCCTCACAGAGCAAATGCAAACACCATAATCGTACTCCCAAACCGACACAGTGCATCAACCTACATTGCCAACTCATTGCAGATTAGGTGATCTACTTCTGGCCAATGATAGTGCAGGGAGGTGGATAGTGAAAGTATTTTCTGTAGAGCATGTAGTCAGCAGTAAATCTACATTATAGGCCTACTGACAGTAGTCATTCACTGCATTAAAAAAACTATACAAACTTAATCTCTGTGAATATCAATCAATCATATCATGATTGAAAATAATCATATTGTCAGATATAACAAGTCTAAGACTCTTACATGGCTACAGCAGCAGGGATTAATCATATTCATGATCTGTCTATCGATGACATGGATTTTCATTCAGGCAGTATTTATGAGTCTGACTCAGACTCAGAGTTACTACAAGATATATTGCAACTAAGTCTGCATGATGTAGACCTAGCAGAAGCACCAGTATGTATTGCTGCAAGTACTCCCAAGAAAAAGCAAAAATTTGCTCCCTCGACTTCACCGGCAGTCAGGACGATTTGTCTATTGATGGTATGGATATATCACAATTGAGTCTTGATGATGTATCTTCTGAAAATCATCAAGTTGGCGGTAGAAAACAACATGGCGATCTCTTCACTCATCATGTGGATGAATATTCATTCAATGAATCAGACACCGCTGATCATCAAGAATTTGTGCAACCACCATTGTTTGAGGAATCGGATAACTCAGATGATGAAAGTGAAGATCAATTGCTCAGCTCAGATATTAGTGGCGACTGTCAGAGTGACTTTGTGCCAAGTTCAAGCACATCAGCTCGTCCCAAACATAAATCTATCAGAAATGGGTTGAAACTGAGCAAAAGTTTTCTGAACAAAACCCGAAAATCATCGTTGAAGCAAGCGGGTCATGCTAAGTGTAAGTGCAGGGAAACATGCATGAGGAAAATGTCCCATGGTGACATCAAATCTGCTCGAAGATTTTATTGGGGTAAATCACCATGTGAGAGGCGTCAGTGGTTATATGAACAGTTTCGATCGCCGGATGAATTTCAGAGATTTAGGGTCCAGAATGGCGTATTAGTGTGTGGTACAGCCTTTCGCATATGTTTAGGTATATGTCGCGCCTCATTTTTCCGAATGAAGGCAGCCGCAGCAAGTAATCAGGGTTTTTCATCTTCAAAGGATACATGTCGCCCACAGTCAAAGTCTGTAATCATCTGCCTCAACTGGATAGAGGAGTACTGTTCCAAGAGAGGAGACTGCATGCCTCACAAGGATGAAATTCGCTTGCCCAACGGCCTCACAAAAAGAGACATATATCACCAATATCTCACCGAAACCTCTGACACGATGGAACCGACAATAGGACAGTCTACATTCTATCAACTATGGAGAGATTTCTTCAATCATGTGAGAATCAGCAAGGTAAGTATTTTGTAGACAGCTCACTTGTAAGTTGTTTCTTACACTTCAAACATATATAATAACTTTTGATGTATATATACTACTTCAATAATAAACTTTCTTCCTATAATCACATTCAAATACTTCAGCAAATGTGATAATTTTACTGTATCCCTGCAAAACAAAAGTTTAAAGCCAAAAGGGATAGTTGAGTATAGGTCAAACCAGGTTAAACTTAACTTTAGTTGAATAAACCACAGTTTTGCACTAAAAATGTGCAACTTTGATTTCTAAATATTTTGAATCAAACTGCTTTGAAAGATTTCTAAAATTTAAATGAAACTCTGTCCAAATAATGGCTTTGTACATAATCTTTGTAGAGACTACATTTCGTCAGTATTATATTTAGAAAGTAAATGGGTGATTAAGTGGAATTAAAATTAACATTACATCTTAAAATGGATAGACAATACAAATGATAAATCAGTTGTCTGTTCATGAGTGCCCCATATCCTTGGCCCACCAAACATTGTCCCTACATGTAGCTTACACAATTTACTGGCTACACAGTTTGCAGGATGTTGCTTAGGTGCTAAAGCTTCCTCAAACGAAAGAAGAAAAGTTGTCTGAGATCAATAACTTTTACGTTTAACCTTAATATTCTATTCATGTTATTCATACAATGACTCTTTGTTTAATTTCAGAGTGGTCAATTCTCCAAGTGTCAGAAGTGTGTTGTTCTGAGGAAGAAAATGGATGAAGCAAAAACCAAGACAAGGAAAGAAAAAATAAAGAAAGCAATGATAGAGCACAACAACAGACAGATGTGAGTATATTAAAGGGATAGTTGAGTTTTTGTAAAGAGAGTACAGTTTTGGTCAAACTAACAAAAACCTACACCATTACTTAACAAACTAATAGTTATAACTCCACCATGCTCGAAAGGAATACAATATTGCAAATGACTAAGTAAAAAGCCTGCTATCATTAAAAAAGACCCGTTAAAACTCAAGAGGCGTTCGTTAAACGCTCATCAGTTTCAACCATTTTAAATACAATATTGTGCATGTGGTGTTTTGTTGAAATAGTGATTAGATAGAGAGATAATTAACAACTATTACCAAAACTCCTTTGTATTTTTTTTTTAAAGGAAACATTTAAAAAAAAAATTAACGGCTGGTTCAAAATTAACGAATAAATGTGGGGCCCCACATTTATTTCAAATGGTTCTGTTTTTTTTTAAATATTTAAGCCATTTTTGAACCGATTTCGATCAAATAAAATTTATTTTGTCATTAAAATTGTATGCTCTTTTGAATTTGACACTCAACTTTTCATTATCTCCCCCAAAAATATGTTGTGTAGCGCCATCAATACCAAAACTCAATTTTTAACTTTTAACTCAAATGTTTAACTGATACACAGGTGGAAGTATTCTTCTCAAGAGGCAAACAAAAGGTATTCATGAAGCACCTCCATCACTTCGGCAGTGATTATTCTAAAATGCACACACACGTGGGAAGTATCCATCGTGTCAAAGATTTGTGGATATTTTGGGGTCATGCGTTCCAGAGCCATTTACGGACTCGCTTATTGTCTGAAACCTAGCATTCATGTGATTCCAAATGATGTCTATTAAAGTACTGATATTGCATATTTCTAATTAATAGCAACTCTTTCTGCAACAGGGCCCTCATCGATCTTTGCAAATTTAATTCTAATGTTCTGTTTCTTTTCTATACATGCAGGTTTGAGCGGCAACTGTACTACAAAAAGCGGACTGCTTCTAAGAGAAACAAGACAAAATATCTCTCTGTTATTCTAGATGGTATGGATCAGAACAAAACAAATATTCCTAACTTCACAGGAGACAAGGCAAAGGTATGTTAACTTTGCATACATACTTTTGATTGATCACATGGTCATTATAGATATTTTAAGAAATGCCCCCCCCCCCCCTCTCAAAAAATGAAACAAACACTCTATAATATGGGATTAAACCAATTTGGCCAACAAACCGCCTACTGATTGATATAGTTGCAGAATTATGAATTTATCTGCTGCGGATTGATATCTGCTGCGGATCGATATCGCCAACGCAAAATCATGCATACGCTATACCTGCAAATAACCTCGTGAATCTAGCGCAGCGCTAGCGGCCGCAGCCAGGTGCGAACAGGCGGTGAATTTAGAAATGTCACGGGCGGGTATTAGATTTCTTCCGATATTTCTGTATTTAAAGGTAACATGCGATTGCATTGTGAAAGAAACATTGTGGAATCGATCATAAAAGGTTGATCATCTAGCATCTAGCATCTGCAAGGTTCTGGAATCATCAAAATGATAAGAAATTGGGCCCATTCTTCGTAAAGTTACAAGCACTATACACAGAAAGATGTATATGGGACTACCCTATATCTCTCACAGACCATGAGAGAAACAAATTTACCAAATATATGAATTAGCAGGCGGTTTCCAGGCAAATTTTTTATCATCATGTATTAGTCAAAACATATTCTTTCACATGATTGGTAATGAGAGCTTCCATTTCACTTTTTGAAATTGGGGCGTTTCCAATACTGGTCTTTACCTTTAACGATGCTTAGGTTCAGAATTGACCACACAAGCCCTAGTATAATACTCATTCAATAATATTGATCAATATAGATGTTTTCGGCTACTTTCCCAAAACTGGTATTGGGCTTAAGTTTGACCTCGAAATGCATAATGCGTAAAACCCCCTGGTGATGTGACCAGGTCAGCATATTCAGAGTTGGACACATGATCATTCTGGAGGTGATAAATGTCCAACTGTTTTTGGCACTTTACAAACATTTTCAGCAAAAAGCGAGTACAAAAAACAGACCTATACAAATTGGCACTAAAATGTTACCCTATTATTTTAATTTTGAAGACACAAAATGCAAGACTTCAACTACAGGTTACATATGATGTGTGGCTCTTCACGAAAAAGTGCACCCTATTTTTCAGATTTCTACAAACACCTTTTTCCTTTTCCATAGATTTTGTTGGTGTAGTATTGTTTTTGATTTTTTGTAATGCAAAGTATGAAAACACTTTATGTGCACAGTTTTCTTTGTTCGAGCACCTCACAGTTCTGTTTGTATAGGGCAAACATAATAGTCTTACACTTATAGTGCATTTAGCATTACGAAAAGCTCTCGTTAAAAATATAACACAGCAGTCAATGCAATCTGGTGTGGTGTCACTACCCCAGTTTCGTTTCTCTAGTTGAAAACTTGGACAGAGCCTTGAGGCTCTGAGTGAGAGATTAAGATATTGGATTGCAGCTGGACTCTACATCATCTTACGTAATACTAGTGTAAACAAACTCTTACTGGGGCTCTGCCTGAAAGGAAATGGGAAGTAGGAAATAGGTATATTACTTGTTTTAAGATATTTTCATGTCTTAAAGTCACTAATAATTTAGATGAAGACCAAAATGAAAGTTTGAACGAAGCAAAATGACCCATAATTGACGATATAACAACAATTTTAACTCTGGCAGCGAACCCTTGCATGTGTCTCTTTCTCCCTTCTCCCTTCCTTTCCCCCTCTATCATGCTTATCTCTCTCTCGCTATCACCTCATCAAGGTCTCAGTGGGGGTGGATTACAGCGCTAGTGTTTACTTAGGGCTTATCACAATCTCAGCTCTAGTAGTGGTGAAAGTCAAATGGGGGTTTCAATTTTAAACGACGAGTTTTATGGAAGGCAAATTTTTAAGTGAATTATTTGAGCCTTCCCTCAGTCCTTTTATAGGTCCAAAAGAGTCGATTATGATTGAAAAGGATTAAGAGGAACACCTGTCATCACAAGAAGCATGAATAAATTAATAAATTAAATAATTAATTACTGTTTCTAAATATTTGCAATTTTGACTAAACAAAGTAACTTCTGTAATTCATACAGACATGTGCATGTGTATACCCCAGTCATTTTGACGAGCAGGAAAATATATTTTTTCACTATTTTTCATATATTTTTTCGCTATTTCTTGATTTCTTGATGTAGTTTTTGGCTATTTTCCTAAAAAAATAGTCAAAAAACTACACTATTTTTTGTATATTTTTTCCATTTTCCCCAACGAGGTGGCTATTTTTTGACTATTTTCATTAAAAAATAGTGAAAAAATAAACTATTTTTTAGCTATTTCTATTTTTTCACTATTTCCCCCAATTGTGTCTCTTTTTTATGAACTATTTTTAAACTATTTTTTCTTCTTTTAGATGTTTTGACTATTTTCCTGCTATTTTTTGTACTTATCATAACATGTTAACCTATTTTTGTACTATTTTTTTGTCTTTTAAAAGTATTTCACTATTTTCCTGCTATTGTTTGCACTTAACATATTACATGTTAACTTATTTTATACTATTTTGTTCGTCTTTCAAAGTTTGTGCCTATTTTCCTGCTATTTTTTGCACTTGACAACATATGTTTACCTATTTTATACTATTTTTTCGTCTTTAAAAGTTATTCACTATTTTCTTGCTATTTTTTGCACTTAACATGTTAATCTATTTTTTCGTCTTCAAAAGTTAATCTCTATTTTCCTGCTATTTTTTGCACTTACAGCAGAAAAAATGTTGACCTATTTTATACTATTTTTTGGTCTTCAAAAGTTAATCACTATTTTCCTGCTATTTTTTGCACTTCTTTTGGACTAATCAAATTATGTTTTTTGTTTTTCTGCTTATATTTTTCAACCATTGAGTGTGTTACTCCATTCCAATTATAACTGGCTCCAGTAAGGCTTTCATTGAGAAATGGGAAAAATAATCAAAAGCAAATTTATTTCTCATATCAAAACAATTTGTAGCTCAGTTGGTTAAGTATCTGGACATGTTTCGCAGGCGGTCGAGAAGAACATTTTTGTTACAAATTTCTGTAAGTCAAGGCACTCGGTCCTTATTTTTTAAAGAACAGGGAGCCGTTTTTTTTCCAGGACCAGCAGCCATTCCCAAAATTAATGAAAATACGTATTCTTTTCAATTATTTGTTAACTGTTATCTTTTATTTACTCATTGGTCTATCAGTATACTAAAAAGTAAACACTGCACAGCAGTGGTAGCACAGTACTCTCTGCCAAGGCATTGTTATACATAAAAATAAGCAAGAACTTAGAATAGAGATATAAGAACCTTTAACAAAAATTTCATGGCCACTATAATATAAGCGACTATGAATACGGCACTTTTAGTAAAACTACTTTATAGTCGTTACAGGGTGAGAATCCTGATCTAGCCACAGAGTTGAAAGAATCCTAAACATTGCCCCTACTGCCAGCCCTAGTCATCATTCCATGTGATAATATAAATTTTCAAAATATCAATTAATGTACATTATCATCACCAATTCACAATGTTTACTAAAAATGTGAGTTTGTATACAACATTGAATCATTAATGATTATGTGAGATCACTAACATGGAAAAACATATGATAATCACATAACTTTCCTTTCACAAGGCTAAAAGGTAATAGATACTCTCATTTTTGTTTTAAAGTAACATGCTGGTTGACAACATTTATTTCTCAATTGTGTAAAGACAGAAGGGCAGTCTGCCCAAAAGTGATGGTACGATAGAAGAGGCTGCAGTGTCAACACTCAACAGAATTACAGAAGCAGAACTATTGACAAGCCTTCACTATGCTGCTAGCAATTTGAAATAAAGTTATTTAACAAATTCATAACAGTGACTGTCGAGAGTATGCTTCATGGCAAACGTCCCGCCAGACTGAATAAGTTTAATGTGCAACAAATACATCATTTAACCTGACATCCATCCACACGCATACCTCTACAATCTTCAATATATTGATGACACAGGTTTCTTCTCTCTCTTTCTTTACCAATGAAATATTAGGATTATTTGCACCAGTAAACTGATCAGTAGAGAGGAGTGTATTGCTCAGGGCAAATTTGGAAATAACAGTATGGTAGTATGCTGTTTTGCAAACACAATGATCGACTTGATCGTTTATACAAAATACCTCATTAGAAAATTCTGTAAAACATTTCAAAAAGTAATCAATGTGACCATAATTAATGCTAACATTTTACCTAAAACCAACGGTGCAACTGTTTCTTTTGATACCTGGTCTGTACTTCCGGGAGGTGATTATAGTACGCCATTTAATTTCAATCTCAAAACATATATAACTGCTTTATCTTACGCCATGAATATTTGGCAAATTCACATCATAATTTGAAAGCTTTAAAGTTAAACTACCAACAACAAAAATAGTAAAATACCTTTCCTAATGGAATCAATTATCTGGAAGGATCTATACTCTGATGCATTCCAGAACTATCTTAGTGATCCGTTTATCGACTTTGTCAATTGAATTAAATTAACATGCCTCTTTATAGTTTCATTCATCAAACATGATACATGACAACTGTTGATTCATCCTCCTTCTCATCACTATCAACATCCATTGCTCCGATATATGCAGATTGCTGCATAAAACTCCTTGACAGTTTCAAGGTAGGTGCGTGGTCCATGCATAGCAGTAGCTGCATGATTTTTCTCTTCAATGTTGATGGCTACTGCGTGCGAGCAAGAGCTTTTAATTAAAATCCGTTTTGTACGCTGCTATGAATGCATCTTGTCTTGGAATCCTCTTAGAGAGAGCATGGAAGATGTCATCAATGCCCCCCCCCCCCCCCCCCCCCTCGTCAAGGATTGCTGCTTTACAAAGGCGTTGTGATGGATGACGGCATACAACGGCTGGCCGTTAACCTGAATTTGGATAAAAAGTAAAATTTAAATCAAAATCAGCAAAATACAGCAAAAGCAATATCCTGGTCAGAATGAATTTAATTTTGGATTAAAATCAAAGCTGATTTTGACCAGTGTGTTCCATGTCATGTCGCGTTCTATATGGCGATTGTATAGTTAAAACAAGAGTACACATGCTAGATGTATGCCAATCCAACTATCGTAGCTGTACCTGGACATATGACCAACAAATGAAAGAAGAAATTTTGAAAGTAATTCTTTAAGAAATTCTTTCCAGGTTTTTTTAGACCGAGTTATTTATTATTGCTTTTTCATAACTAATCTAGCAAAACATCATGCATTTCAAAACCATGCCAAATTTAAGCGGTAATAGCTAGCTAACAGCTCAGGTGAATGAAAACAAATGCAATATGGCTAGCAGTATTATTTTGAATTAAGAAAATCATGTTTAGTAAACCAGCAGTAGCACCATCGGTCATCAGCATCATGATGACTGCGCCAAATTAATAGAAATTATATTTTTGACTAGGATTAGGAAAAATGTCTCAATTTATGCTTTAAAAGGCTGCCGCTGACTATGGTTGATTCTTAGACTAATGAATGATTATATTAGATCATTTCATTGCCCCTAACATATATCTTATACTTAGTCTTACGTTAGTCTTACGTCTTATTAATATAATAATCAAATCAAGTTTTTCTTCTTAATCAGTTTGCAAGTTTTTGTAGGTCTATTGATTCCAAAACAAACCTAATAATTCTTTAAAAAGGGCCTTTTTCATCTTGACACGATTCAATGTGTTTTCAATACATAGATTGTACGATTGATGAAACAGAAATGAAATCAGATAAAACAAAAATGAAATCAGAGGAAACAAAATGAAATCGCAATCCTAACATCAAATTACACACATGGGACTGACTTGGGCACAAACGAACTCACCTTCAGTAGTGCACTGTTTCTCCGCTCTTTTGCTTTGGATTTCATCCATTCTTCATTTTTCTGTCTTTTCCTGGAGATATTTGATATATCAGCAATAAGCTCATTAAAGTCTTTCATCCATGATGAAAACGCCAGAAAATGAGGTATTTCGAGACGCGAATAGTACAGACGAATCGAGGTGGATATATGTCGTTGAGCCTATATTTTGGAACCGCATCCATCGCTGTAGGCTTCGGCTCGGCTAGCTAGGCGCGCTCGCTATAGGCTATGCGCGCGCGCAATACAAAGATCGTACGTACTTTGAATTTGAACGGTACGCAAAGACGTTTTAGATTGAACGTTCTCATCTAAAAAATCTAGAGATCAATCATTTGATTAGTTGCAGTTAAAAAAAAAACTATCACTCATTGTGTTCGAAAAAATAAAATCGTTATAAAACTTTTAAAATATTGGCATTTTTTTCCCGAAAATACAAGAAACAAATACTTATCTGTGGTTTTATGTAAGTGTTGATGAACAACGCATGCGCCGTATTACCATAACATTAACGGTACAGCTAGCTAGCGGGAAGTTCAACTAATGAGTAACGATATCCTCATCAAATCATCCGAAGTCATTGAGATATAGGCCTATAGTTTTCCCCAAGAGAAGCGATTGATTATATGTGATTAATGTGTTCCAGTACTGCAGTAGATTCTAATGATATTCCCGTGAACCGATCGCGAGCAAGCAAGAAACCAGCCAGATACAGCGATGAAAATTTGAAGGTGAGTCTACGTCAGTAGTGAGTGAGTACCGTAGTGCATGCCGAGTGAGACGACCGTTGGTTGGCCGTTACGCAATACTGACTGAGTCTGAGTATTTTAAATCTAGAATTCTAAAAGTTAGAATCTACGCTAAAAGTTGTTAGATGTGAAATCCGTGGATACAGGTTCTAAAAATAAACCTAGGGATGATGTTTACTTTGAAATTGGGTGAGAAATAATGAAGATATTGCTCCATTTCATTCCGAAAAAACAGGAAGAAGCTGATTTGACAACAGAAATCCCCATTTTTAATTTTAATTATTAATTTTAGAGTTGATGTTTATCAAATTTATAATTAAAATATGTTTTGTTGATATCATTGATAGGTTTATCACTCTACGTCATAATCGTATCACTTAGTTACTTATAAAAAAAAGTGTTAGGGCCTATCAGTATCACTTTACTATCACTAGACCGTCTAGTCTAAAGGACCTACTGTTACTAATTAATAGGCCTATGCTATAGATTTCTAATACTAAATAGTAGACTAGATCTACTTCCCATTCATCTATTTTGTAAACCAATTTTAATCATTTCTAGATCTAGAGTCTAGATTCTATTCTAAATCTATTCTAAGTTAATCTAAGGTCTAATTTTTTGTTTTCTTTTCTAGAATATGCACTCGTCATGTTCACAGTCACACTGGATAAGGTGAAGAGCTAGTGTAGAGGTTGGTTTTGAGCATCAAAATTTGGACGGTGGCCGGAGGATGAGGATCGATGGATGGGAGGCCTACGATGAGGCTAACAAGAAGTGGTAGCTTGGCCTAAGCTTGAAATGACCCGTAAGTTATAGATTTGTATGCGTCCGCCCACCAAAGGTGGGTGCCGGAGGCAATAATGGCCCAAATTCACAAAGGATGTTTAAATTTCACCCATGGTTTAAACCTCATTTACATAACCCATGGTTTAAAATTATCGCAATTTAAGCGTAGACTTGCGTGCGTCTAATAAATGGACCTACGACTGTGTCACGCTTATTGGGCTAAATTTAGACAATGTGTCATGTAAATGAAGATGTAAACCATGGGTTAAAATCAAACCTCCTTGTGTCTTTGTGAATTATTCGGGCCATTTTGTTTCGGGTTGCTGCATGCATGTCTGTCCGTCCGTCGTGTTTTCATTGTTGCAATAAATTAAGAAGCAATTGACGGATCAAATTCAAACCTGGCTCATGTATGTATTTATATCATGGGAGTGACGATGATCTGATTAGATTTGAGGTCACAAGGTCAAAGGTCATTGTATACATTAGAATAGAATGGTTCTTGCAATAACTTGGGAACCATTTGACAGATCAATTTAAAACTTTGCTCATGTATGCGTTTGCAAGTGACGATCTAATTAGATTTTGTCTTCAAGAGGTCAAAGGTCACAGAGGTATTTTTTTAAAGTCCTCATTCTTTCATGAAATTTCAATTTCACTTCTCAAATTCAAACTTGACACAAATACTATAATACAAATAATAGGCCTATGATCAATGATAAGTAAAACATAATTCCAAATGATTTAATTATATTTTTTATATATCATTGATAATGATATGTATGTCATTTTTTCTCTTTTTAGGAATTTAAAGAATACAAATATTGCAAAGATTGTATCCCATTCATACATGCCTTTTGTCCAGGATATATTTTCTAAAATGATTTAAATCATATACATTTTTGTTTTCTTTTCTAGAATATGCACTCTTCGTGTTCAGTCACACTGGATAATGTGAAGAGGGTGGTTTTGAGCAGCGAGGTTCGGCAGGTGGCAGGAGGATGAAGATCGATGGATAGGAGGTGTACGATGAGGCTACAAAGAAGTGGTACTCTGTTGCCTTGCTTGAAAGGACCCGTAAGTTGTAGATTTTTTAATGTTGAATAATCGCCTATGTTGAAAATAAAACTCTTCTCCAGACTTACATGTAATTGCGACTTTAACTTAGTTTGCATGTCATCTAACAGGCCTTAAATTTCAATATTTCTAGGGCAATTATAAGGCCACTTTTCTGTAGGGCACATTCCTATATTACAGCACAAATAGGAATAATTGGAAAGGGCACAAAAAATCTCCAAGGCCAATGAGAGGGGCATTGAGGCCAATCAAAAGGGCACCCACGGCCATGGCCTTGGATTAATTTAAGCCCTGATCTAAGTCTTTCACATGACTCTGTTACCTGTCAAGAAGCTCTTCTTTTATGGCTTTTTTATGGGCAGCATCCAGAGAACTTTACTATCATTCTATTTCTGAGCATCGTGTTGTTTGAGCCAACAGTAACATGTCATGCTGCTCTTGGCAATTCTGATAAGCATCACTAATAATTCTAAATATTTTTGTTCTGTTTATGTTTATATCTTTCAGCAATTCTTTGCGAGAAGATCGAAGGGGGCCGGACACAAATCAGCTGAATTGGCAGGCCCTGAGAGTAAAGATGGAGGGAATCAAATATAAGGCTAAAAACATGTTAATCTTCTTCAGAACGCACAAAGTAGATTACGACCAAACTTGGCAGGAGTCATCCCTTAAAAGTAAGGGGATCTTAATTTGTTCAAGTGGGGGGTGGTGCACCAGGGGGGGGGGGGGAGGGCAGGAAAACAAAAAAAGCCAAATCAACATCATTGTCTTCATGAAAAAGCATAATTGGTAGATTATTGTGTGGGAAGGGTATCTCAATTTACAGAAAAAATGATCAAAGTGCCCAGCTTGCAAAGCTGCATGCTCAGGTAAGCACAAGACCCACAGGTCTCTAGTCTATTACTCTTTTGCTTTTCATCTTTAAGTGTTTGTGTATTGGAGGGGGGGGGTAAAGTATAGTGTCCATCAATGTTATATATTGTTTTTTGATTATCAACTGCCAAACAATAGCTGCCTTCTGCATCAGTGTGTTAATAGGTGTACTTTTCATATATTTAATTATATTCAGGGCAAATATTAACCTTGCCTTTCAATAGCCATATTACTTGTATAGTGATGCATCGATATATGCACAATATTGGATTTTTTGTTGTTGTATGTGCCAAACAGGTTGGCAGAATGTCATGTTTGGTATTTATGATACATTTTTATGTATATTTATTTAATTTAACAGAAACCTATCTATCACATACAGTCAACTCTCGGCTGCCTAAGTCGAATTTGCATAAGATGAATGTCGAAGGTGTTATGTTAGTCTTTTCTTTTTATTTTCCATTGTTTTGACCTTGCATTAGTCGGATCTGGACACTTTTAACGTAAAAAGAATATTTGTATACCACTGTTTTTAGAATTCTCACCCAAGATTCCAGCATTAGTACTAATTAGTACCAGCGGTGACTGATTTCATAACCCACTGATTGAGCCCATGAAAATTATACAAATTTCATTTATCTATGCGCCCAATACTTTGTGGTCTAATAATTATTTTCCTGGCTGTATTACTGTAACTATTATTTGCCGAAGATAAACCGTTTTTTTTTAACATGAACTATGTGCTACAATTCCCTTGCCTTTCAGTTTATTAGGATGCACCTTTTTTTTTTCTACATTTGCCTTTTTTTATTTTTTTATACCGGTATATATATATTTTTTAAATATATTTTTTATTTCTAGGATAAAACAATATCTCGACATCAGCCAAATTTTCAGGCATCTTCTTGTGTAGGGTCCATGCTTTTTCCATGATCAGCTGTACAAATTCATTGATGTATATACCATTAAATTCATGTTCCAGATCGTACACTGTAAATATTTTAATAATTTCTTTCAATTCTTGTTTTTTCTATAAATTCCACTAATCTGAAATGTGTGTGTATTGTCAGCTCTTTTTTAGGGTTGATGTGATTGTGAGAGGGTTATAGATGATGATATAGAGGGTGTATTGTGATGGTGACTGCAGTGTGCCACAACTGTTACAAGACATTTGAAAAATATGTACATATTTTGTTTAATTCTATTTTTCAGCTATTTTAAGCGGATCCCATAACATCTAAGCTGGATATATTTTAAAATATTTTTTTTCTATTTCCCATATATTTTCTTCCTATTTTCTTGCTAATTTTTGGGGTAACAAAATAGTGAGAAAATATATTTTCATATATTTTATACAGGTTTAGACTTTTATTTCGTATATTTTCTGTATATTTTACTATTTCTTCGCTATTTTTGAAGCGTTCCAAAACATATAGGCTAAAAATATATTTTGTTGCTATTTTTTTTCCTATTTTTAATCTATTTCTGTACTATTTTCCAGCTATTTTTTTAGAGAGAAGAAATAGTGAGAAAATATATTTTTCATATATTTTTTCTACAGTTTTCGACAAATTTATTTCATATATTTTCTGTATATTTTTCTATTTTTACGCTATTTTTAAAGCGTTCCAAAACTGTGGCCTAAAAATATATTTTTTTGCTATTTTTTCTTCTATTTTTAATCTATTTCTGGACTATTTTCCATCTATTTTGGGGGAGAAGAAATAGTGAGAAAATATATTTTCTTGGTCTATTTTTCATATATTTTTTATATAGTTTTAGACTATTTTATTTCGACTGGGGTATCATAGCAACGTTCATCATATTTATCTAGAAGATCTAACTTAACCTTGATATGCCGTATGAACCTTCAGAATTTTAGGCACTTATTATTCTATAATAGTCTACCGGTTGTCTTCATTTTGATCTTCACATTTTCAGGGCATAAACGATCTGGACCTCTTGAAGACACACGTTACTGGAGTTTTGCTCCATGGTCAACAAGAAAGCCTAACATTTGTTGACATTTGTGAACACAAACATGATTCAAACATGACCATCAATGTACTGCTGAAGACTCTAGCACATGTTTCAAAGGTGAGGAATATTTACATTATAATTACTGTCTGAAATTGATAAAGGAAATAGCTAGCGTGTAATGCGTGTTATTAAGTGTAAAATCAACATCAATTAAACCTATATTTGAGTAGAATAATTGCAAGTAATAGATAATTCTACGGTATGTATCTTGTATAGGTAATCATTTTGTCAATGCCTTTGTTATGAATCCACTTATAGAAGCAATTGGTCCCTCTTTAATGGTCCTCACCCACCTCTCCTACATGTACTTGACAATGTGCATTATCTTGTTTAAAGGTACTATGTCCCTTTTGCAGCCAACCTCAAATTCTGTAGAACTTTGCAGGAATTATGAATATGTCATGTATGTCCTATCTGTGAAATTTAAACATTAGCAGTGTCCTCATATTCAAATTATGCAAGGAAACATGTTTACTTGCTAGACTTCACTGTCAGACACTATTGAGTGACTGACTGGCTTATTTCTTCTTTGGTAATAACATACATGAAAAGAGTTGTAAAGGGTACATGAGCATTTGTCTACATCAATAACCCACTTATTGTGATGGCCAAGATTAAACTGATTGAATCTTTGCGCAGCATAAAACGTATGACCATTCGGTACAATTGTCTGAAAATCAAGACTATTACTTTTGGGCTCTATAGCCCTAAAGTCGATTTGACAACTAATAGTCGTTATTTTCCCACTTGAAGACATTTTCAAGCCCCACCTTTTTTAGGGAAGTTCTAAATTAGTATTATCTTTCAAATGCAGTTGGAATTTAACTTTTCCATTATTTTGGCCTGCAAATGGGATATAGTACCTTTAAACACAATATATAATGTATACAACATAATTGAATTTGTAATTACCTTTTCCCAAATCGATTTTGTTTTGTTTGGCCTTATGGGATTTATATTATTATTTAATTTCCTTAGGGTCACACAAAGCCACTCCCACCCATTCTATTTCTGCAAGCAGATAATTGCTGGCGTGAAAATAAGAACAAGTATGTGATGGCGTTGTTGGAGATGCTGGTTGGAAAGAAGATATTTCATGAGGTGAGGAAATGATATCTTGATAATTTTCAGAAAGTTTTAGAAAGTGCTGTTACGTAGTGATTTCAGACAATAAGCATGTAATATAAAAGTTTGTAATAAAAATTCAAACATTAGCACTGGTAAGGTTCCAAAAGCATCTTCTTGTCGACATAATGTTAAAATAATATCAAAAAAGGGATTTTACACGCTACAGTCAGAACTATAATATTGTGAACTTATGCTTAAATATCAATTATAAGTGCAATGCACCCAAATGTTGCAGCTTGTTTGCACCGAAGCAAGACACTTTTTGGCCTTCAGCATGAATGAGGCTCCAGTATATCTTTTGCTCTAATTAGCAAACTTGCAGTTGAATTAAATATGTGCACATATTTTGCTGATTGATTACATTTCATTGCTCAAATATATTTCAAAGCATAGCTGCCTGCATGCATGTACCACTGCATGGCTCACTTTTTTCTTCAATTTATGCACTCAGGTACACCTATCATATCTTCTTGTTGGCCATACTCACGAAGATATTGATCAGCTGTTTTCACAAATTGGACCCAAACTAAAAGCCAAATCTGCAGAAACCATCCCACAGCTCCTTTCTCTCCTGCCGAATGGTGAGGTACTGTACGGCCTGTATGACTTCAAGTCATGGATGACACCCCACATTTCAAATGTGACAGGCCATACCAAACCTCACCATTTCCGTTTCTCTATGAATGAGAAAAAGAAGGTTGTTCTGGCTGTGAGAGGACTTAGGAACCATGAGTGGAAGGAGTTACCGCGAGGCTTCTGGCAATACTCTGCCACTGGTACCCCTGTTTACCCACGAGGGAAACCTGCCCTCTTACAGCCCAACTTTGAAAACATCAACCTGGAGAGGCTGGTGGACAGGGTGAAGGACTGGGCACTCCTGTTCAGTGATGAGCACCATGAGGAGTGGTGGAGGTTGTACTTGACTGAACTAATCAAGGTGCGAGACGATAGCCATAAGAGAAGGCAATACATGAACCGCAATATTACTTGGTCTCTTCCCAAACTAAAGCCTTACGTCCCCGATCATGTGGTCGAGTCTGACGAAGAGGACACCATAGGACCAGCGATAGCTCCACAGCTACAGAAGAAACTTGATGAGGAACTCCAGGTGCCACAGGTGATTATGTTCATTCTGTTTGTCTCAGTTATCTGTCTCATAACTCTTAACATAAAAATACTGTAAGCTATATCCCAAATACAGGAATTGAATTATCAAGTTTTTTACCACTAATATGTCCTCAAAAATAGCATAACAGTAAAATACTCTAACATACATGTATATATTGTTCTAGATTTGATACGTGAAATTCTGTTATTCTGTATCATCATTAAATTTGTCTTTCCTAGGAAATGTTTCCTAAAAGTAACATAGTTTTGTTTTTCGTATTTACTTCTAGATTTTCAAAACAAATGATAACAGTACAATGACAATCCATGCAACAAAAGGCTTATCTGAAACTTTTGATCAATTATTTGTTTTTCACTCAAGGCAAAGCATGATTTAAAAATATGTGTGAATTCTAACATGAAATCCTCCTCCACAGCATCACTGTACTGTTCTTTTTCAAAATCTCCTTACAGGTTCACATTGCTGGAAAGAGATCTACAAGCGGCACATGAGTTCCAAAGGGAATATACTGTATGTATATAATTGAAAATATCTTGAATGTACATGTACACTGGGTATTGCTTAAGCGGGTGATTTTGAGCTTTTGTAACCTACCAACTAGTTTAAATTGACCATACAATCTTTTGTTATATGACATTATTTGGAACAACCTCTATAAAAATGAAAACCTGATGATTTGCAAACACAAAACATAGTAAATAGCAAGAGAGGTTAAAAAAAAAAATTGAAATTTGCTATTCTCACATCTATCTTTGCCCCTCATTTGAACTAGTCAATCATGAAATCGTTTGTTAACAGTTTAATGTAACATCCGAAACATGCTAACACATACCAGAAAATGCTGTTAAAATAGCTGAATATTTTTATGAGTAAATTTTGTTGAGATTTTTTAAAATATAAATTACAATTGAGGATATACTGAAGCAGCCAGTCATGCCTTGCATCACAAAGTGTGTCTTTAATGTTTTATGTTTAATAAGTCCAATTTGCCGAAAATTAAGAAATTTGACTTTTGGCATCATATTTCTTCATATTTGTATATTTAAATCTAAATAAAATCATCAAATTGGTGTTTTTAACAGGAGTGTATATTGTGAAATTGTTATTTGCAGATATTATCGAAAATTGTTATTTGCAGATATTATCGAAAATTAATTGAAATTTGTTAACTATGTGTTAATTAACAATGAAATTGTGTAACGTCCGAAACACCCTTCTTGTGATTACAAAAAAATATTGGATTTGAAAGGCCTGATTTGTGATTTGACTGGCCTGATTTGTGATTTGACTTGTGTTAAGACTTATAATAACTTATTTCAAAACAATTTATTCACTCTTGATACCCTTAAATATGGATTATCATCATTTAATTGGGTTTCTTTGCTTTGGACATTACAACTGTTTACGGAAAATTGGTTTTAACCATAAGATAGAATTGTAATAATGTATTGCAAATTTTTTGTTTGTTGGGTAGCTGCCATGTGATGTTAACAAAATGTTAGGATAGATATGTCCTGTAGTTCATATATTTTCTGCTACTTTAAATTCAAAGTTGTTTCGGAAGTTACAAAATTGTTTACAGAAAATTTGCGACAACTTTTTCAAATTTTGAGTATTTTTCGAATATTAGCGCTACTATAATTAAATTATATTTTCTTTCAATATAATCACTTGGAGTAACTAATAAGCTCATTCAAACCATATACAATCTCATTGATTTATTGTTCTAGTGGGTTAAATAAAATGAGGGTCTACATTGTTTACGGAAAATGTAACGTCCGAAACACCATTTTCAATTGCTCTGTTCCATTAAAATACAGGAGTTGAATCAGATTACTGTTATCTTTCTTTAAGATCCACCCATGCTCATTAATCATCAATAGAAAGAAGAAATAAAATTGTTTGTTGCTATATATTTTTTCCAGCTCAAACCAAAATGGTAAGTCAATTTTGTTACAAAATTCTGTAAACGGTTTGCTGCTCAGGGATACCTCATGCATATAAAGCAACATTTTTTCATTAAGCTATGGCCTATGGGAGGTCAATCTAGGTCCATGCTACAAGAAAAAGTTGTAACTGATGTCTAATTCTTTATCTGTGAAAAGTTTCAGGCTCTCAAAAAAAGGGCCATTTAGCTATTTGGTCATAGTTTAAAACATAGTTTCAAAACAGTACCATATACACAAGGAGAGCGTTGTTTTAGGGGGGAGGTAATGGGGTCAATGCCTGATAGTGATAGTCTTGTATTTCAGGCAGTGATAGTGTTATCAGTGTTAATATCTCACAAAAACCTCTTTTTAAAAGAGGAAGCATTAAAAAAGAAAATGATGGCTGGTTTTGTGTAGAGCCCTCTATACCAAAACTGAACTATCCCTTGAAGTGAATACATGTAGTTTCTAAACTAAAATAAACATTATAATCTTGTGCAGCCACTCACTTGTCATTAGTGCCTCTTTTATATTAGTGACAAAGATGTTCAAAGACAACCTTGAACATTGATTGATCTCAAAAGCTCTCAATATTGTGATTGTTTATAGACATACCATGCAAAAAGCTGTACCAATTTTATGGAGATTTCACAGTCTTGATGGGAATGGTTTCCAAAACTTGGCCTATCGGCATATATTGCATGTGTTCGTTTATGATATTTAATAAGTTCACAGGATCGATATGCATTGAATAGTCATACATTGTCTGAATGAAATATACTGCACTGCATATTTCCTATAGGTTTGTGTAATTCTAATTCTAGGCATTATTGTGCATGTAGGCTTATGTATAAAACAAAGTGGTTGTAGTTTGTTATAGTCTGTAATTCCACACGCGATGGATTGTATGCAATTGTTGTACCTAAATAATGATTCTTTCATGTCATTCACAAATTACATTTCCACACGACAAATATTTTGCAATTTGTAATATACCCATGATATGTTAAAAACGGGCTGGAAGTTATAACCAGTAGCCTTCCTTCATCTTAAATTAAAGCATCTTCAATATTTATAATATGTCAATTGTATTGACTTTGAATACATATTTCTGTTCATATAGTATTTATACATATTTATAATGATTCTTAATAGCCATTGACAGTGCTGTAATGAGCAAACAATTTTTTGGGGTCAGAAGAAAGTCTGCATCCATTCATCACCAGGTATAGCATAATGGCAAGATTGGCAGGGTTGCAAACTTAGAGCATGAGACTTTGTGAGGGAGCAAAGCAACTGAGCTGGGGGGGGGGTGTTTGAGCGGTGTCTCCCTCTCCCACGATAGGGAGATTTTGCATTTTCTTCTTAATGATGTGCAATCTGGTCCATACCGGTCCTACAACTCAGACTTGACATGTTCTATATGTGGGTAAGTGCATAATGATTTTACAGACTGTGATCAAGTAAAACTTTTGTCATGAAGAAAACATAATTATACCAAAATATGCACGCCAAGAATTAATATTCATGCCCATTTAAAACATAACACCACATACACTTATGATACAACAACATGAACAAGATATACCAGATGAAGACAAGACCGATTCCCGAGGGAGCATAGAGACCAAGTGACAGGAGGTGTGTTTAGAGGGGAGGGGAAAGGGTGTCTGCCTCTGCACAGTAAAGGAGCTTTTGCAATTCTGTTGCACACCTGGGAAGGAAATTTGGCTAGAAATGAAATAGAATCAGAGTTTTAGAGTCTCAAAAAATACTCCTTTTTTCAAACACTGGTATCAAATTGAGCCATGTTTTATTATTATGGGGGGGGGCACTTTTTTTCTTGACAAACCTTGGTAAGAGTAAAGTGTGGTGAATGAGGAACCTTGATAAAAGTGAAGTGTGGCAATCGACGAACCTTAGTTATAGTCAAGTGTGGCGATCGACAAACCTTGTTCAGAGTAGAGTGTGGCGATCGACAAACCTTGGTCAGAGTAGAGTGTGGCGATCGACGAACCTTAGTAATAGTCAAGTGAGGCGATCGACAAACCTTGGAAAGATCAAGGTGTGGCAATCGACGAGCATTGGAAAGAGTAAAGTGTGGCGATCGACAAATCTTGGCAAGAGTAGAGTGTGGCGATCGACGAACCTTGGTAAGAGTAAAGTGTGGCGATCGACAAACCTTGGTCAGAGTAGAGTGTGGCGATCGACGAGCATTGGAAAGAGTAAAGTGTGGCTATCGACAAATCTTGGCAAGAGTAGAGTGTGGCGATCGACGAACCTTGGTAAGAGTAAAGTGTGGCGATCGACAAATCTTGGCAAGAGTAGAGTGTGGCGATCGACGAACCTTGGTAAGAATAAAGTGTGGCGATCGACAAACCTTGGACAGATCAAGGTGTGGCAATCGACGAACCTTGGTAAGAGTAAAGTGTGGCGATCGACGAACCGAGTAGAGTGTGGCGATCGACGAACCTTGGTAAGAATAAAGTGTGGCGATCGACAAACCTTGGACTGATCAAGGTGTGGCAATCGACGAACCTTGGTCAAAGTAAAGTGCGGCGATCGACAAACCTTGGAAAGAGTTAAGTGTGGCGATCGACAAACCTTGGACAGACCAAGGTGTGGCAATCGACGAACCTTGGTCAAAGTAAAGTGCGGCGATCGACAAACCTTGGAAAGAGTTAAGTGTGGCGATCGACAAACCTTGGACAGATCAAGGTGTGGCAATCGACGAACCTTGGTCAAAGTAAAGTGCGGCGATCGACGAACGTTGGTAAGAATAAAGTGTGGCAATCGACAAACCTTGTACAGATCAAGGTGTGGCAATTGACGAACCTTTGCTGGATACGTGCAAGAAAATTGTTCTATAACGACAAAGGTAAGGACCATTATTTTCTGTAACCCCAAAATTTGGTTCTATTTGAGTGAAAAAGTAATATTTTAGACCATCTAGAATTGCATGAAACGGTCCATTTTTTTAGACTTTTTTGGAAAGTCTACTTTTTTTCTGGAATGGGTTAGTTGCTCTTGACTGGTTTAATGATTATTTGTCAGGTAGAAAGCAATATGTAAGCTACGAATCTGTAGATTCATCATTATTGCCTATGAAATGTGGTGTCCCACAAGGATCGATACTCGGTCCTTTATTGTTTCTACTGTATGTTAATGATATCTCGAACTCAACTACATCATTACAATATATTATATTTGCTGATGATACTAATGTGTTTTGCTCCAATTCCGATTTTCGATCACTTCAGAGAATTCTGAACACCGAGCTACCTAAGCTGTCTTTGTGGTTTAGGAGCAACAAATTGTCTCTGAATCTGAAAAAAACTAATTATATTCATTTTCAAAGCAGGAAAAATGCAACTGATAAACCTATACCTGAAATAGTCTTGGATGGTGAATATTTGGAGAAAAAACAAAATACTAAATTTCTTGGAACTATCATCAATGAAAATCTGAAATGGAGTGATCATGTACATTACGTTTCAAAGAGAGTGTCACGCACTGTTGGTTTACTGTATAAGTTAAAACATTATGTGCCTTTGAATATTCTATATATGCTATACAATTCCTTGATTCTTCCTTACATGTCTTATTGCAATATACTGTGGGCAGACTCAAAAGTATATACTGATAAAATGCTACTTTTACAAAAGAAAGCGATTCGTGTGTGTACCAATGCTGGATATCGCGATCACACTGATCCCCTATTCGCGAGGTTAAAAACTCTGAAAGTAACTGATATTAACTTTTTACAAAAAGCACTGTTCATGTTCCGTCTACATAATGATTCCCTACCTTCCCACTTCCCACCAATGTTTTGTTTGAATAGAAATATTCATACATACCCAACCAGACAATCAAATAAATACCATTTATGTAATCCTAAAACAACAATGGCTATGAAATCTATAAGACATTCTGGTCCGGATATTTGGAACTCACTGTCCGTTGACATCCGTAACTTGAAGTCAGTATATACTTTCAAGAAAAGTGTGAAATCAATTTTATTGAGCAAATATTGAAAAATCTCTTAAATTAACACATGATATCATATATGTTTGTCAGCATTTCCTTGATATAGCAGGAAAATCCCCCTCCCATGCACCCTCTATCCCATTTTTTTTTTTTGGTTGCAAGTCACTGTTTATTTTTTGTTATTTTCCCCCAATTATGTTCTGTAATTTACTTTACTTTACAATCGTTATGATTTTAAATGTTTCTGGGCTGCAAGCGTATCAAGCTGTCACGCTTAGGCTGTAGCCCTTCTGTATCATCACCTCTTCGAGCGTATGTATCTATGATTTACTGAATGTGGAAATGTAATTTAACTTATGTTTTATACTCATGCAAAGACATTGTCACATTATTGTTATAACCTATGATGATTCAGTAACCAATAAATATTTCAACTATTTCAACTATTAAATGCGTCTAAACTGAATCTCTAAGAAATCGTAAAATATTCATGAATATTACTTGTTTAAAGGCTATGATATTCCTGTCGGCTGGCTACGAGACTACTGCAGCCTTACTGACCTACGCATCCTACCTCCTCGCCTCTAACCCCGATTGCCAAGACAAACTCATCGCCGAGATCGATGACATCGCACCAAAACGCGACGACGTCGGCTATACGACGATCTCCAAGATGCCCTACTTGGACCAAGTCGTATGTGAGGTGCTCAGGATATATCCACCGGGGATTTTGTAAGTCATTAGATCAATTGATTTTGAACACGAATGCAAATACTTTGGACAAATCAACGCAAGGGCAATTTCAAAACCCCTATCGTGTATCCTTTAGAAATCATTTGCGGATTACGTAATAGTTTATAGTAATGTGCGCACATGGCGATGCGCAAGTTGTGAAATTTAAGCGTTATCAATGTCCTAGCTAGTATTCAAATTAATTATGCAAGGAAACCCGTTTACTTTCTAGACTTCACTGTCAGATCCTCTGGACGGCCATGCACTATGGCTCAGGGCATGGGCACACAGAGGATTTTGTTTATGTTGGGAACCGGGATAAAATGCAATAAATTATTGAAAATTAATTGCATTTTCTGTTTTTTATTTTATTTATGAAAACTGCCCCTACCCTAGCCCCCGCTGCGTACAGTCATGGTTCAGTGACAAAGCAATGGCCTCGTAACTGTGAGGCCCCAGGATCCAAACCGTGTCGATGTGCTATAATAGGGACTTTTAGATTTGCACGTTGACAGCTTTGACTGCAACGTGTGACGTCATTTTAAGGCACTAGGCATACGTCACGTCGTCTCAGTCGCCGATCGAGAGGGTGTCAACCTTGATTTTCCTAAATCTAGTACGGTACTAGTGTATGCCGCGTGCGCATAAAATATACAGTTCCTCAGGTAGACAAAGGAACATCCCTTCCTGCTCGTATGTACAAATGTGTAGATCAGGTGTCACATACATATTCACCTGTTCTACACATTTTTGCATAATAGCAGTGAAGGGATGTACTACCACAGCAATAGGCCATTTTCGTAATGTCACCAAATTTAATGGATAGGTCTTTGTGAAGTGCCTCAATACAAACTATTTTATTCACCTGATAAGAATAATAGTATTTCAATAGATATAATCCTAACTGCGTACATTAGTTGTTGCCAGGTTGGACAAACATTATACCTACCTAGCAACACTTAATATATGCAGTTGCATTCTGACTATTGAAATACTATTATTCCTATCAGGTGAATGAAATAATTTGTATTGAGGCACTTCACAAAGACCTATGCATTAAATTTGGTTACATTACGAAAATGGCCTATTGTTGAGGGTAGAATGAGGAACTGTATATTTTGTCCTCTTTCTTTGTCTGTCATGTTCATAGTGTTACTTCCTGCATGCATGTATATCGTCGAGTGCAATCTAAAAGATTTCTAATTGTAGTCAACATGGGCAGTTGAGTACGTTGACAAGCATGATCAGTCGGCGTTCGTCGTGTTCTCGTCCACTCAATTTAAAAGTCCCTAATAGTGCCCTTTTGTGGGGCATTAATCATCATAACTGTCATTTATGACTTAAGGGCGTAGGTCCCCTATTTGATAAGCATAGAAGCATACACATGCTTTAGCAGCCACGCAAAACACACATTTGCACATTATTATTCAATAAAATCTGAGAATGTATACTTTTATCTAGATCTATTATTTTTTAATTATTTTTAAAATAATTCCATAAATTGGGGTAAAACAAAAATATTACACCTATATGAGCGACAGTGTATATAAACGAGTGCGCTTGCTTAATTCGATACGAAATTCTGAATTAGTATTATCTTTCAAATGCCATTGAAATTTAACATTTTCATTGGCTGATATTTGCAGTGCCTTTGATCTCAATTAAGATCAAACCTGTGTTATTTTCTTTTTCGACTCAAAAAGTAAGCATTCGAACAATTTTGTTCTTTCTTATGTTTTTATTTCTTGCTCTCTCTGTTTGTTGTTACGATCTTTCATTATCTCCCACTATTCTTTACACCGCAGAAGTGATCGGGAATGCGGAGAGACGTGTACTTACAAGGGTTATAAGATTGAGAAGGGTCTGCAGATCTGGATACCAACCTTCACCATTCAACGTGATCCGACCCACTGGCCTGATCCCCTCAAGTTTAATCCCGAAAGGTAGGTGGGGCGTAGAGGGCAGTCCAACGTTTGTAATGATTTCATGGTTGTGAAAGCAGAGAAATATTAAGAGAGACGGAGTAGCGGAAGTTTGAAATAAATTGGTTTAGTAGTAAAGTTAAAGATGTTCAAAACCATGCGAATCTCAACTTGGCAATTTGGTCAGTGGACCATGACAAGTTAATTTAATCAAATTTCTATACAAGTCATGTGTGTTTATGGTACTCTCTCTTTATGTATGTCCCTCTTTCTCTTTTATTTTCCATATAATATCCCCTCTATCTCTTTTCCTCTTTGCTATTTTTCTCCTTTCCTATCTCTCTCTCTGTCCATTACTCTCTCCCTCTCCTCCCCTCTCACTCCCTCCCCTCCCTTCTTGCCTCCATCCCTCCCGACCCCTGCCCAGATTCACGAAGGCGAATCGCGAGGGTCGTAACCCGTTCACCTGGTTGCCTTTCGGTGCAGGACCACGTATCTGTATCGGTATGAGGTTCGCTCTCATGGAAGCCAAGATGGCGCTAGTCCGATCCCTGCAAGTAGTTCGCTTCGAGATTTCGCCCTTGACCAAGGTACGTTATGTTTTTAATCATACATAGATTAGCAATTAAGGAAGTTTGGCTACATCTGGTATTATATATTACCTCTTTCAATACTATGAATACCCTAAATACATAGGTTAAAAAAACGATGTGCCCCTTCAATTGTTTTTGTTCAGGTGTAACTGTCAGGCATACAATCTGCGCATGAGCAAATAAAGGTCACTTGTACAAACTTGTAAAACCCACTGAGACTTGAATTGGATACATGCTCATGAAAGTTATGCAATCGTTATTAATGCATGCACCTGTGATACATTATATTGAACGCAGGTGGAAGTATTCCTTTCAAGAGGGAAAACAAAGAAGAGTCCATGACTTTAGCTGTGATTATTCCAAAAGGCACAACGTAGGATTTTTCTATGTTTAAAAGATCTGTGAATATTTGGGTCATCTGAACCATGTGCTGACTACGAACTGATCTATGCCAGTAATTTGTTTGAACTGCACATGTGCCACAGACCCCAGGGTTCATAAACCTTAACCCGGATTTTGTGAATGATGCTTGTCGCCCTCTTTAGGGCCTAATCTACCTAAGCACAGATTATAAATTGACTCTTTACTACAGTTAAAAGTCTTGAGCAAAGCATTATGTCCGTCTCTGGTTATGTGCAGCTAAAGTACAGAGCATATTGTGGTCTCACTGAGCAGAGTCAGCAGACACCGTTAAGCACAGCGACTATGTGTGCCTGCAAACTAGCCCTGATGCCCCCCTTTAAATACAATTTGTGTGAATTTCTTATTTCAGATCCCACCAGATGTCGGAAACACTTCGCTCCTGTCAAAGAAAAGCAGCTACACCCTCAAGATTGTACAACGTCATTGAGTACAAGCAGCAAAGCCATACGTGGAGGGGTGCCTGCCTGGCATACATCATATTTCATAGCTCATCTAGTAATAATTACAGAAATTATTTAAAACATAATATTATAGGTGTCTTTTTGTTTGCTTGCACGCTTCGTTCACTCGCAAAAATTATGACCATTATTATGTGGCCGAAAGTGTGTACATGGTACTTGATGAGCTTCAGAGTGATGCACAATTAATATTCTGTGATGAATTTGCGATTGGGGTGAAGCGAAATGTGTTATTTCTGAAAATAGGGCTGTCACGGTGACAGAAAAAGGTTGAAAAACGAAATTAGGGTGACAGTTTGCTGTAATATCTTACAATACGAAACCAAAACGACCATTCTAATTATGTCCTGTGCCTTAGGAGGAAGATATGTAAGCCTAATAGAGAGAAAGTTATAGTTTCTTGTATAAATTAAAAACAATTAGAAGGTCCTACTTTCTCTTTTGATCACTGTAGAAGAATATTAAAGTAATATCACAATGATTTTTTTTTTAACTCTCTGAATGAGCGTTCTGTCTTAAATAAATGCAGTTTACTAATCATATCCCTTGTAAATATTAACGCTTTTATTCTATTTATTTTTAATAATTTTTTTTTAATTTCGTAACTCAAGAATGACAAGTAGACAGGTTGAAATGGGCCTCTGTTGTATACTTTAACATGTCACATTCCCAAGAAAAATTAAACGGAAAAAATCAATCAATCACATCACAAAACTTAATAGTAATTTAGTTGTTAACTGTGATATGATCGCAAAGCCTTCCCAGAACTCAACTCGAGACCGGTAAATTCCAATACCCTCATTTGTTTATCCCATAGGAAACATGTTCGGATTTAGTAATATTGGCAAATCAATATTGCTTCAGGTTGACTTATCGAAAGTCTTTACAGTCGTGTTAAATGTACATGTAGTGTAGATCAAATGTTCATACAATATGTTTCATAGGCTACGCTTTCATTTAAAATGATAATAATACATACTGACCATACGGGCTCTTTATTAAAACAATCATGGGTGTCAACTATTCACATACATCTACAGAAGTTTATTACTATTACAAATTGTTTGTAAATTTTACTTATCTTTTACGGGAACTGTTTAGGGAATATTGTTTGTTTGTTTGTTTTTATTTCTGCATTTTAAAAATAGAACATAATCATATACATAAAGTAACACATAATTTTTGATTTTACATAATAATACATTTTGAAGTACATTAAATAAGATGCATACAAACACAAGTATAATTTCAATGAAAAAAAAGATAAATTACAGAAAACGCAGGAGACCGCCATCATGAGCGGTAAGCTTGAAATCGATGGCGGCCTCGAGAGAATAGCGGCAAACTCTTAAATTATATAATTATACACGCGAAATTGATCAAGTGGGTGCAGTGAAAGTACATTTGTAAATGTCTGTTCATTGTGTAAATTCTGAAGCCAGGGGCGTAAATCCCGGGGGGGGGGGATGGGGGGGGGGCTGCATCCCCCTGGCTTGAAGTAGGGGGGTGGCCTGTACAATCATCCCCCCTGATATTACAACAACAAAAAATTAGAGAGGAAAAAAAAGGGAAGAAGAAGAAGAAAAAAATGTGATTGTTTCAATTTCAGCATAAAGCATGAGAAATTAGTTATTTTGTTTATGTATAGCCTACACGTATACAGTATGTCACCATAAGGAAACGTCAAGGCTTCCGCGCTTCGCGCGAGAGGGGGAAACTGAATTCAGATAAATAGGGCTTATTAAGAGTCGAAAACGGTGCAACGAATCGTCTTCTTTCTATAATTAAATCAAACGTCCAAGCTTTTCGCGCTACGCGCGGGAAGGGGAAACTGAATTCAGACGAGAATTAAGAGTCGAAAACGGTACAACGAATCGTCTGCTTTCTCTAATAGTTTAAGGAAACGTCAAGACTTCCGCGCTTCTCGCTAGAGGGGTAAACCGAATTCAGACAAAGATTAAGAGTCGAGCACGGTTTAACAAATCGTCTACTTTCTCTAATAATTTAATGAAACGCCAAAACTTCCGCGCGGGGGGGGGGGGGGGGCGGGGGGGAACTGAATTCAGACAAGGATTTACAGTCGAGAACGGTACAGCAAATCGTCTTCTTTTTATAATGATTTAATGAAACGCCAAAGCTTTCGCGCTTCGCGCGGGAGGGGGGAATTCATTCAGACAAGGGTTAACAGTAAAGAACGGTACAATAAATCGTCTACTTTTACTAATAAATTAAGGAAACGTCTAAGCTTCCGCGCTTTGCGCGATAGGACTATCACCCACACACCCCTAATGAGCGTATGTGTGTGTGTGTGTGTGTGTGGTGTGTTTGTGCGTGCGCGATCGCGCGCGCTTGCGTAAATTAGTGTGGGCGTGTGCACGTGCTAGTATGTGAAGGCTATCGCCGAGCATCCCCCACTCCTCGGTACGGATTTACGCCCCTGTCTGAAGCACTTTCATCGCGTTCATGGACTGCCTCGCACATCATATTTTCTCGATCTTGGTACGTTTGGACCATGTTTCAAATACCATTTGCACTTTGAAAGACACATTCAAAAATATTATTTCATTGTCAATTTGGATATTTTAAAAACCATGTATATACCTGATTATTTGTGTGTAATCGTACATGTTATAACCTTGAATGTTGATCGCTATATTGTAATCATTGTATGCTAACGTAAATCGAATTACCAATTACATTTTGGAAGCTGTTGTTAATGATACGATGTGATTTCAAATATGTAGGCACTTAAACATTGAGAAATATTTGTGAGCATGCGTAGTTCAGCTTCTGTCTTCCAGGCATATCAAATAAAACTATCTTTGAATCGTCTCACGATCCTGACCTCTACGTTCGTTGTTGATGATTATTTGGATCTTGTTTTTGTCTACACTATTATTGATAAAAACATTAAAATATACATGATAAATCACGAATATATATATACATGTAGATATGGAGGGTAGCCCATATCATTGGCATGTACATAATGGCATTGTTCTTCCCTAGAATCCTAAAAATATGATAGATAAACATAATGTAAAGTAATTATAATAACAAGACAATCAAGTAAAAAAAATAATAAAAAAAATAATGAAAGACGGACAGAGATAGAAAACACCTGACAAACGCTAAACAAAGTATAACATTTGCAATAACAGTTTAGGACTTAGCGAGGGAAGCTAATACACTAGATTTAAATGACTGGATTGTGGATATACTACTCAAAAGCGATGGAAGTAGGCTATTGAGTTGAAGCCCCCTATATATACCTAAAGAAATGTTTGTTTAAAAATATTTGTTTTTGGTTTGGGAGACTAGACGGCTTCCTCTTGATCGGAGTGAACTTTGAACTTTGTACTCGTTCTGTGGTAGTCATTAGTCATTTTAAAGATAAAAGATGAGTTCTGGTCATCCGATTGCATTGTGAAAGAAAAGGTTTGGAATGGATCAGAAAAAGTTGATCATGTAGCATGTAAGTATTGGTGTGTCCTGCAAAGTTCTGGAGTCATCAAAATCATAATAAATTTGGCCCAGTCTTGGTAAAGTATTAACAAGCACTGTACACAGAAAGATGTGACTACACAAATTGTGTCGGGTTTGATTTCCTTATCTTTCTATGCTCATTACTCAGCCAGTATACATTTTCTACCAAAATTGTTTGGCAAATGACATTTATTTGTAATCTTGAACATTCAGGGTAAGTTTCGTTTGATTCTGTGAGAATTCATCTTTTTAAAATCAGAACTCACCTTTATCTTTAAACCGTTTGCAAAACAGATATGGACTGATGGGAGAGTTCAATTCTTAATTTATTAATTATTAATTTCAGCTCATAATTAATTTGTACACGTTTAACATAACTCAACGCTCTTTGGGTACTAAGAGGCGAATCACCCCCCCCCCCCCCTCCCCATTCACTCTCTCACTCTATCTCTCCATCTCTCTCTCTCTCTCCCCCCTCTCTCTCTCTCTCTCTCTCTCTGTGCCCTCTCTCTTTCTTTCTCTCCCTCTTCCTCTATCCCTCTCTCTCTTAACAAAAATAAGACAACCGAGCTTCTAATGAACATACCTTTTTCTAAAGGTGCTGCAATCGGACATGGCATGATTTGTAAACAAAAACTAAAATCAGAAAGAAAAAAAAATCAATTTACTTGTCTAACCTGTCTTGATATTTCTATACCCATCAACGTCACTGACTGGCCGGAGGAGATATAGGTTTTCAACCCCATCCCCCTCACTCTCTCCCATTTCAATTTTTCTAACGTTTCCAGGGAACGGAAGACTGAAGAAGGAGATGCTATCAACATGATAGAGGGTGATTGGATCAAAAGATTTATTCCGTTTAATAGCAATAATATTGTAGGCTACTAGTCTATGGGCTACACATAATTATTATACTGCGTAAATATTCATAATTGAATGACACACGCCCTTGAAACTAAAACAACAACAACAACAACTGTTCAATTAAACTACAATTTTGCACAATTATATATATAAGCAGTGATTCAGTCTATTGACTTTTATACAAAAAGGCATAACATACCATTCTAAAAGTAAAAACAAATGCATACACATGTTTATAAACATGATTATAATGATATCATTTCAACATTTCCTCTGTAATTTGTACAAAAAAATCGTAACATCGGGGGCAAAGAAAAACAAAACATCTGACATGCTTGCTTGATAAAGTTGGGATATTGCACAAATTCTAACTTTTTCACATAAAAAAGAAGAATTTATTGACCGTATTCGATGAGATATTTAAAGGATCACTGAAAATTCATTCTTTAAATAAATAAAGGTCATGGTGAATTCTGGTTTAGAAGAAAATTAAGTTGGAGCTTTCTATTTTCCTAAACATAAATTTGAAAGGAAAATCAAGTCCTCTGAAATGGAATGCTCTTCAAATTCCCTCACATTACGATGAGTAAAATCCGAGAGGTTTGGACCAAACATTCATGCCACATTTGAGTGTGGAAAAGGCACCTTTCTGTGTGTACATGACCTCAGCATGTTCGGCAAGATTGAGCCAATTTCTTAGCATTTTGATAATCAAGAAAAGCCCTCAATATACACCTATTCATGTGTACTATATTTTCATTCATTCATTCATTTTTTTCATTGGCAGCAGAAAAACACAACAGAGGAATTTTGAAATGACAAGATACATCATACAAGAAAATAACATAAAAATACTTTATACAGATTCATGTATGCTGGAGTAGGTAGCAGCCCAAACAAAAGGGTGGGGCTCTTCTACTATTATATATGGCTGAGCCAGAAATTTAAATGTATGAAATATAATTAATTATAC